ACGAGCAGGAGTAAAGCATTGGAGCATTTAATGATGGTCTGCATGTGTAGAAGACCAGGCAAGGTCACACCTCTTGTCTGGTTAATAACAATTACCTGTAAATAGCTGTTACCATAAAAGAGTACGTAATAAAATATATATTTTCTAAATGACAAAAAAAAGATTGCTTTGTTTTACAAAAGGTATTATATTAACGTCCTGTATGTATTGTCCTTGGCCCACAGGTGTTTATTTGTCCATTTAAAATAAATCTTAAGCTTCCACAACACCTCATGCACACATAGAATTGCAGGCCAAAATTTTAACACAGGTTCCAGAACATTTTACGGATGCTTAGCTACTGTATACATAAACAGATGAGAGAAAAAAAAAAAGAGCTTAAACATTTTGTTAGGAAAATCAGACAAATACATTTGATCAAGTCACGGAAGGAAGGAAGGAACAGTAAAAATAATTAATGCTGTGAATTTGGCAGGAGGCAGGTAGGTAACATAGAAATAAGGAAGATTCTGCCAGAATCAGCATGTCAAGCCTAAAATCATATAATCCTCTAACATATTCCAGAGACACAAACATTTCAGCAAAGCAAATATTTAACTTCATAGGAACAGGTCTGTACTCTTCTCCATCCTTGTCCCAGAAGTCATCTTTCTTATATGCCCATCTACAGCCACAAGAGCAACGTTCAAAACACACGATGAGAGTCTGGAAAGGGGCACATTACCACCCCAGAGTTTAACAAAGTAAAATTGCAATTGTAAAGAACATGGACGGCCGAATTAGAATTGAATTGCCAAAAGTACATTGCAGGAGACAGTAGGAATTTGAAGGAACCCGAACACATGCTGCCATTAAAGTGTATGTTAACCCCAACAATGAACTCCTCTCATTTGCTCCTTTTTGGCCTGCTACATATACCATTGACCAGATAAAACAGAACCTGATCCTGCCAAAAATCTTGCAAGCTGAAAACTTTGTGTTCTCTGCCTTTGCTGCACAGTTCTCAGCTGCCATTTTTCGAGCTGTGTGGACTAGAGAATACCTGCAGCCCGGGTCATAGAAAGTTAAGGTGTTCTGTAGTCCTAACACATCCAGTTCTAGGGTGACAATGCTGCTCCTCCACAAATACAGTAAAGTGAGTTTTCACCTTAGGACATTAAGTTTTTTTACTGGCAGGGTCACCAGACAGGTGAAAACAAAGCCTGAAAAAAAAAAAAAAAAAAAGCTAATGCAGCCACAGAACTCTGAATGATGATGACATCCTCTCAAAGATGGAGAAAGAAAAAAATGTATATATACAAGCTAGAGTGCAAGTTGACCCTCATCTAAAATAGGATTTTACATGGTCTCACCATTTAACACCAAACATCACCAGCAGACTGAACCTTTTCCCAACTGATCTCAATGAGAAGTCGGTCTAATTAAAGCTGGCCAAACAGATTTTGTTTAGGTCATATTACATTAGAGAGCCCGTCACTGGTGAGAGTCCCCGTCGCTGGCAAGAGTCCCCGTCAATGGCGGGGATCACTAAGCGACCACTAACCTTTACTTGCAGTGTTGGTCACTCCCTGGCTGAAAAAGGGAGAAGTCAGTCCATCCCAGGTGAGATTCTGCAGTACTTTGGTCATTAGGGAAAGTGTCTGATGCTGTTGGTGACATGGTCCTTAGATAGAGCATCGTCATTTCCCACCAACCAAGATGTTAAGCCCAGTCTGTTTGGATATTAATTATTTGGTTTAAAGGGGGTAGAATATATGTATGTATTTGGTAAATATAGGATTTTTGCATTCAATGTAAAAGTTTTTTCCTGGGGTCCATAGAGGGACACGGGAAGTCTTTAGCTTTTGGGTTATACGGCTGCCTACAGGAGGGCACTGACAGAGGGAAAGGACCTGTGTCCCTCAATGGACTCCATGAAAAGGATTTTACGTTGTGTACAAAAAGTATCTTTTCTTTCATTAAGGGAAGTCTTCATCCTTGGGGACCATCCACATACAGTCAAACTAAGGGGTGGGCAACACAGCAAACAAACTAACATGCCCAAGAAAACAGGGAACTGGCTGCAGCTCAAAGAGCTGACACTAAAGGACCTTGTGACTGTAGATGGCATCAGATGAGGTTGCAATTGCCATCTGTTAAAGCTTTGAGAACGTGTGAACAGAAGACTAGATGGCAGCCTTGCTAATCTAGGAAACCTGATGCTTAAAAGCCCAAGAGGTGCTCACTGCCCTAGTGTAGTGAACCTTAACTGGAAAGAGGGAGCCCAATCCTTGAGACCATGGAAGACCAGCTTTTGAGCCATCCAGAGATGTGGCATGAGAAGCTGGGGCACCCTTCCTGGGATGACAAAAAGATCTGTCTTCTTAAAAATCAGTGGCTGAAAGATAGACTCACAAAATACAAAAGGGCAGAATCCTTGACAGTACTAGTGCTGAGAGCAAAACACTGGTCTAGGGCGAGCTGCAGGAAGGAGGGGATTTGTCCTATGTAGAAACCTCTAAGGAGGAAGCATAGAGACTCACACAAAGTGAATTATGCCTTCCTTGCCCAATAACAGACCTCGTGGGACATAGCCTTCCAAGTTTTTAGCATCATAACAATAACAGATTAAGAGATGGCCCTGTCCCTCAAAACCTGGGCTTCAACAGCCATGCCATTAAACTCAGCGACTGTGATACAGTCCATCGTGATCTGCGAAGCAGACGAGGAAGTAGTAAGGCATAGATCAGGGTGCACTGATCCGACAGAGGCACCAGAGCCATCCACTGCTTCCATTAGAGGATCCCTGCACGTAGAGACAAAAGTTACTCGTCCAGTTTGCATCTGAGCCTGGAGGCCAAGAGCTCCACATCTGGTGTCCTCCACCTGTGACACAGGTCCAGAAAAACACACACACACACACACACACACACACACACACACACACAATGTGTGGCCAGCTAAAAGACAGATTGATCATTGAGACAATCGATCAGTAAGATATCTACAGACCCTTTTCCTCATGGCAAATCAGCCAGAATCTTCTTTCTGACTGGGGCACCACCATCATCATAACGAGCACTATGACAACAACCATCTTTTTATGGTGCAAAGGGAACACCACTGAAGCATGTCTGATACTTGCATGTGCTTGTTATACATACAGTAAATCTTCAAGTGACCCTGCCAAGTAAACCTGGATGGAAAACCTAACTGTGTGATGAGGTCGAATAAAAAGTATGTAGCACATTAGATTAATAGGTAAAACATCTCACAATTAAAAAGAAGGCTTCAAACAAATATGCTCTGCTTTGGGAAGATGGTTATTAAGGGAAAGCAATAGAAAAGTTTTACTTACCTCCGATCAAACAGAAAAGGTACTTGACAGGTAGTGTGTATTTACTGTCCACATTTTCAGAGAGCAGGTTACAGTGAGAATGTTCAACACAACAGAGCTTCATATGAAATCACTAACAAATGACACCCAAATCCTTCCAATACCATGCTGCTAATTAGCCATCAGCAGATTCAGTATGACAGCACACCATGTAATAGAATTACACACAATGCTACATGTAAAAAATGCAAACAACCTCAGTCTTTACTTACTAATCACACATACAAGATATATCTAATCAATATCTGTGTCTAATCTGAATACAGAGGGCTAATCTATAAAATTAATGGAATGGAAAATACCAGACTACAAAATGTCATCAGAATATGCTAATTTTCATACAAGTCGCAAAAGGCTTCCCAAAAAGTGCCACAAATATGAAAAAGGCTTCATGAACCAGAATGTAAAAGATTTTGTAATAACATATGCAAATGATATGTTATAATTTCAGATCATCAGAGCAGACATTGTTTTCAACTATAGTGTCATATCAAAGACCTCCTTGTCTGCCAAGTCTTGGAAGAGGATCTCCAAGTGCCATTAAAGCATACTTTTACCTGGAGCAACAGGATGCAGAGCAGTTAGATAAAGGTCACACAAGCGACATAGTGAAAAGTTTGTGGAAATGTGACCATCACACCTATACTAGCTCTTTGGACATCCAATTCATTCCAAAGATTTTCCAATAAGGTTGAGGTAAGAGCTCAGACTGCTTGAATTCCTCCACACCAAACCCTTCAAACCAGGTCTTTATGGAGCTAGTAGGCAGCGCACAATTGTTTTGAAAAATGCATTAAACAGTTGACTAGAAACACCTGAGCTCAATTTGAGGGGTTCCACATACTTTTGGCCATAGTGTGCATAACAACTGCAGTACAGGTGTGAGCCATATGGGCCTTGCACAAAAAACAGAGCTATTGCTAAATTACCTTAAAGGAGAACTATGGGGTGAGTGAATTACACTCATCCCCATAGTTAGAGCCGTCACACTTCTGCTCTATTGATCGGGAAGTGAGCAATAAGCATACCGCTGCTCACTGATAATCTCCCTGCAGACAGTGGTTAGTCAGTCACCGCTCCCTACAGGGATTCCCCTCTCCGATCCGCCAGTGCTGACTGGAGGGACGAACGGGGCAGGCATAGCTGGCTCTACCTCTAGATAGGCAGAGCCCGCTGTCAATCAAATCAGCCATGGGGTGGATCTCGACAGTATTATTGGGATCCGTCTTGGCTGCGGCTCTCTATAGCTTGCTATATACTGAGTTTTGGGTACGGGAGGATGTATATGTCCTCCCGTGATCCTAAAGAGAACTATGGGGGTAAAAAAAAAAAAAAAAAGAAGGTTACCCCATAGTTCTCCTTTAACAGAACATGGAGATTTTAGCAGTAGGATGAGCGACTAGCTCCCAGGGTGTCTTTTACATGTCAAACATGCACTCAAACAGTCAAGAATAGGTAGAATAAGAGCATAACTCCTTCCTGTATCTAAACGGGAAGAATAAAGGATAGAAGCTCTGCTTAAGGCATAAATCAGTTATTTTTTTATGATGGCTACAAACATGCAAGACTATTTCAACTTAATATTCAAAATAGACACTCGTGATTTGGTCACAATTTTACTCACTTTGCTCCTGTGCAGATGCAGGCGCAGGAGCTGGAGGTTCTTCTGGCTCAGCTGCCACAGGAGTAGGAGGAGCCGGGGGAGGAGGAGGAGGTGGTGCAGCAGTGGTAGAAGAAGAAGAAGAAGTCGCTGAGGTACCTCCTGCATTAGAAGCAGCTGCCTCATTTGCCATTGATCTTGTAATTCGACCCTTCCGACGACCTTGACTATTTGCAGTTTTGCGTCCCTTGGGAGTAGATTGCTCCCTTTCCTCCAGCTCTTCTGCCACAGCGTCCATTTTGTCTTTGGTGTTCTCCCTGCAATTATTCAGAGGCACAAAATAAAATAAATCGCACATCTGCATCTCATTCCTACAAGGCAACCTGGATGCCATTTAGGGCCCTTTCACACCTACTTGCATTGGGGTAACATGTACCGCAATGCACCATTAAAGCTTGTTTCAACCCTGAAATACCCTCGTACACATTTGTGTAATAACTTAATTATTCAAGTGTGTTTGGCCTAATCAAGAGAATCTCATTCAGTCTTTCAAAGTGCACCAAAAATAAGAAACTAACTTTCAGTTTACCTGGATTTAGAGAGACGTGTAAATGTGATCAACCTAAAGAAAATTATGAATGTTAATTAAGAATTTGTACATGCATAGTTACATAGTTTCTAGGTGTCTTATCCAGAACCTATCTTTTCAGCAAGGGTAGAGACTAAGCGCATGATACAACAGTCACAAGAATTAACTCTATACGATTCTGACCGCCCCATCCACACTTACTTCAGTGGCTGAACCTGCTTTCCAAATCAACTGTTAGCTAAATGTATATTATATCCATCATAAAAGAAGAATACAGGAAGCAAATTTTAGTTTTCCCCTTAGTTTGAACTCGATACAAAGTGTGCATGGAAAGTAAAGGGAAAAAAGAATAGATTTGGATGTTAGAACTGCTACAGGATAGCTGGCACATTATCCCATAGTAATGTAGGTGGTGGGCAGGTTTATAACAACATCTTTCCTCTTCCTTTCAGCCCACAGTGTACAGGAATATACACAATATGCACTGTGCCCCTAGAGGCCAAAGGACTGAGTGCCTGACCAAAAAGGCATACATGGCAACTGCATAGCTGTCAATTCACGCAGGAAAAGGGTCCTTTCCTGGGGGTCTCCTGGTGGTTAAAGCACATCTTTCAAGTCTCTGCGAGAAGATCTGCATCTACAGGCTTCACTAGAAAGGAGGTTATGTCCCCAAAGGGGGAGGGGGGGTTAGTGCAAGGAAGTTCTGGTTACCTAAACTCCTCTTTAGTTTCTTTCTCCTCCTCATCCCTTCGTTCTTCTTCCTTTTTCTCATTTTTTTCTGCTTTCTCCTCCTCTATTTTGTCAATTTCCTTTTCTTCTTGGGATGGCCGTGAAATCTGTTGCTGCAGACAAAAAGAAAATTACATGCAACAGCCACAAGACAACATTGTTTCTAAACTTTGTCTGAAGACTAATAATAAATTAGGCTCTCCAAGATTCCTCAATTAAAACATACTCCACCATTACAACCACTCGCTCTGCAGCTTCCTGTGTCACTTCAGCACCTCCAGTCTGCTCATCACTGAGCAATGAATACACAGCTTCCAAAAAGGAGATAACACAAGAAGCACCACAGCAAGGTAATGAAACACCTGACAGGACGCATGCTAATCATTGCCTGTTATAAACAGCCACTGTACATAAGCTAATTAATGCAGAAGCGTTTTTGCCAATATTCATGGAAGAAATGAAAAGATATATGAGAATGACGAGTGCATACGTTACATTCTTTTACAAATCAGGAAATATAAGACATTGTGAAACCCTTCCAATATACATTTTGGTATGCTACAGAAGACTTGCAGGATACGTTGGGTAGGTTGTTTTATAGAGGGTCGCCAACTATGAACTTGCCTTTCCTAACTCACTGGCATTCAAAAGGTGTATGCTTTGTAGTTCCAAGAAATCTCCACAGTGGAGATATAGGTAACCACGTCAGTCACTGGGTGTTCTATGAAGGGTTTCTAGTGTCCTACTACGGTAGGATGGTACATGTGTACTTGAAATTATTGGATGCCGCTAGATTTTGTTTTCATTATTATGTATTAACAACATGGTTTCTGGTTGTGATTGTTTTCCTCACCAATGTCTAACTGAAACAAGTTATTTTTTTTTCTCTCTTTGGTCCAAAGGGCATTAGTATCACTTCACAATTGTAACATAGTTCAACATGTTCCTCTTGTTTTTCTGGCTTGAACCTTTAATTTTATCTTACTTTTCTTTTGATAGGTGTATAACGTGTCTTTTTATGTAACACTATATAATAAAATCATGTGAAAATAGGTTGTGTGTTGGGGGTGTGAGTACTTCCTTTGCAATAACCCATAGTCTGGGTTCTTCTAGTTCTTCTTCCTAGTCTGTCATTCTCCGATCACTACTAGGCTGAATGAATTCAAACGTTTATATATATCTCTGAGCACTTCTGGGTTCAGAGCCGTTAAATCACGGTTGCAGTGGACAGCTAAGCAGTAGACTGGGCACTATGTAACCAAATCTTCTCTGGCTGGGGGAAGAGGAGGAGACATTGGATGTCTAGTACACACCTAATGCCTCCATAAGTAGTACCAGTCACTCCCTATGTACCATCACATTGGGGTCAGACAAGTCCCCTTGTGATGCTAATGAAATTAAAAGTAATAAATATTATACAATATAAGAAATATATAAATAGATGTCCTCCCCCATCCACACCAAAATACAATTAGGGGAAGGCATCAAACATGGGGCAGACAGAATCTGGAGCAGTTGCCCATAGCAATCAATCAGCTTCTCTCTTTCATTTTCAAAGCTTACCTAAACAAACTGTATATAGAAGCTGATCGATTACTTTGGGCAACTCCTCCAGATTCTGTGCTCCAGTTTTGATAAATACCTGCCATTGAGGGGAATTTATCAAAACTGGGGCACACAGAACCTGGAGTAGCTCCCCATGGCAATCGATCAGCTTCTCTCTTTAATTTGCAAAGCTTAAGTGAACAAACTGAAGAGAGAAGCTGGTTGCCCTGGGAACTTGCTCCAGATTCTGCCTGATCCAGTTTTGAGCTCCCTCCAGTATTTTAAATGAAAAGAGATATTATAAACACTTGTGCAAGGTTTGTTTCTTGGTGATGTATTTTTTGGGGGGAGACCGGACTACTTATCCATCCCAAAAAGCTTAAAGAAATATCTAGGGAGAACAATGAAGGTCATAGAAAAAAAAAAAAAACAACTATTGCCAGAAAAGTCCAATGTATTTGGGTGTATTTTCACATAACACATATTTGCAGCTATTTGATGCAATAATCTTTTTTTCTGGGTATACTGGTCCTTTAGAATAACCAGGAAGAACTTCTCCGGTCTGGGGGACTGAAATGAAAACCATTCAGCGACTGTGCTGAAGCAGAACAAGGTCAGACACAACATACAGAACAGGAAATTGCCTACAACTTCCAGCAGATGGCAACAGTATACTACATCCAAAACTCAGCTGTCACACACAGAATACCTGCCACCTAACAGACCACGTCAACAATGCTCTAGTGCTTTAACCTATACTACCGGAACTGCCAAACCAAGCAGTAATGTTTGGCAAAGAGACCTTAAACAGCATGTTCATGACTGGAAAATGTTGGGTTCCTCAAATCTCATTTGAAAACACAAGAAAAGAAAGTGAAGGAAGCCGACAAATCTAGCCCACACTAGACAGGCTAGTTTACCATATGACTCATTCAATATTTCATGCCAACTCCAGATGGGAGATTATGTTACTGAGCGCAAAGCGGAGAACTTAGGGGAACAAGCGGCAAAATACATTTGCATTGCATAACCTTGAATCCGAGCAGGCACCTGTAATTGTGGAGCTGGAAAGGAATTCTTCACACACAGCGGCATGGTGATGCAACCCAGATCTGGCAGGAGAAAAAAGGTCACTTCACACATCATCCACCCAACACACCACGTGAACGAATCTCTGACAGGGAAGTCTGCCGCAAGCCAAGTTCCTAACATAAACAGAAGCAGAGTACAACACACAATACCAGGACAACAGGCTGAATACTGGGCCTTCCACTAGCAAGTGCATTGGAGAAAATTCCCAAATGACATTTACTGAAGCAGCAGCAAACTAGTGCCTTCATTTCACAATTGAGAACAAAAACTAGCACACATTTGCCGAGAAACACTACTGGAACCCTCACTAAATAGACTCTGCATCGCCTGGAAAGAGAGATCATACAGGGAATGGCTGCTTTAGGTTGTGCACAAGTAATCAAATGTCACACAGTTTATCCTGCAATTAGCTAGGGACCATTCACACCTCTGAAGTTTTCACATGATGCCATTCATCCATTACAAGTATTTATATAGTGCCATAATTTAACGCAGCGCTTAGCAAACTGTACATTGGCATCAGTCCCTGCCCTTAAAAGGAGAAATATGAGGCGAGTGATTTCCACTCATTCTCATAGTTAGAGCCGACCCGTGACAAAGGAGCTGTCACAGGTCGGCTCTATTGATCGGGAAACATACCGCTTATCCGCTCACTTCCTGATCATCTCCCTGCAGTGACCGGCAGTCACCGTTCTCCGCAGGGATTCCCCCTTCCCATCTCCAATCCTCCAGCGCTGAGTGGAGGAACGAACAGGGGATGGGGCCGGCACAGCCTCTAGATAGGCAGAGCCAGCTGTCACTTACACAGCTGGGTGGATCTAGACACTATTGTCGGGATCCGTCACAGCTGTGGGGCTCTTACTATATCGTGAGCAATGGTCTGCTATATACTGAGCTTTGGGTCACGGGAGGAGGTTTCATCGATCCGTTCATCGATCCCCTCCCCGTTCTATGGGACCGGGAGCGATGCAGATTGCATCACTTCCGGTCCCTGGGCTGTCAGTTCTGGGCTCCTGCAGCCCAGCTATAAGCTATTGAAGTGCGATCTGCACTTCAATAGCTTATTTCCAGTGTAAAGGTGACACTGAGGGTCTTTTGGACCCCCAGCATCACCTTAAAGAGGACCTGTCACCACCATCTGCTATTACATGGGGGGGCTTGCAAGCCCCCCCATGTGATAGCAGTCAAAGTAAAGTAAAAAAAAAAAAAAAAACAGTTTTTAAAATTAAAATGAAATAAAATAAATCTAATAATAATAAAAAAAAAATTTTAAAAGTACCCCGCCCCCGCGAGCACGCGCGTCGCCACGTAAACACGCGTCGGGTGCGCCTACGCATGAAAACGACGAACGCGCTACACATGTTGGGTATCGCCGCGCACGCCGGAGTGAGAGCAATAATTCTAGGGCCAGTATTTTGGGGTATCTCTAAATTGATGACCTGTGGGGGCTTTTAAAGTGTCTTTTATTGACTTTTTGGGGTACTGCAGTTTTTCGCCGTTTCACGGTCGCACGCAATCTGTAAACTGGGCATGTTGGGTATCGTTTTACTCGTTGTAACCTCATCTTTTATATTTCATTAAAAAAATGGGTAATTTGTTGTGTTTTGGGGCATTTAATTAAATTTGTCACAAAATTTTGGGGTTTAATAAGGAGTTGCGCTAATATTGCGCAACATAAAAATTTTCAACTACCACCATTTTATTCTATAGGGTCTTGGCATTCAGAAAATATATAATGTTGGGGGGTTTTACGTAATTTTCAGGCCTAAAATGTGGAATATAACATGGGTGCAAAAAATGAAAAAAGGGCCTCAGTCATGAAGGTGTTAAGGAGCTTACCATCTAAGGTCATTACCCTACATGCATATATAATAGGTTAATGTGCTCCTATCTAAATTTGCCCTAACAGTATGTCTTTCGAGTGTGGAAGGATACCAGAACACTCATAGGAAACCCACGCTAGCAACAAGGAGAACATGCAAACTCCATGGCGATTGAGTCCTGGTGAGGTTTCAAACCAATGATCCTGCTGCTGCAAGGCAGATGTGTTAAAGAAGAACTATGAGGTGAGTGCTTTTCACTCACCTCATAGTTCTAGCCGACCTGTGACAATGAGACTGTCACAGGTCGGCTTAGTAGATCGGGGAGGTGAGCGAACACATACCGCTCACCTCTCGATCCTGTCACGGCTCTGTGCCGTGACAGGGGAGGGGCTGGATTCCCCCCTCCCCGTTCCGATAGCGCTGACTGGCGGAATGGACGGGGGCGGGTACAGCTGGCTCTGCCTCTAGATAGGCAGAGCCAGCTGTTAGTCACGCAGCTGGGCGGATCCAGACATAATTGTCGGGATCCGTTTCAGCGTCTCAGTATACCGCGAGCAGCAGCTCACGGTATACTGCGGCGTCTCAGTATACCGCGAGCTACAGCTCGCGGTATACTGAGCCTAGGGTGACGGGAGGACGCTAGTTTGTGTCCT